AAGGCTCAATTTCAGTACAGCAAAGGCCAATTTCAGGACAGACAGTGAGAAGTTTTTTTTTACCCGGTGGGCAATTAACAACTGGAAACAGGTTACCAGGAAGGATGGATGATGCCAGGATGCTGGACTCATTTGAGAAACAGCTCAATGCTATGCTGGGATGATGATTCGGTGGATGTTCTGGAAGTATGAGATCAGATGGGTCAAAGAGAAGCTGACATAATCGCAAAGGTGCATGTCTTTGTTTTCCTGCTGCATGGCTGAGCTCAGGAAGTAATTGGAGTGGAGGGAGGGTAGGAGTTCAATGGAGCCTGTGAGCACAAACATTACGTAAATGTCCAGAGGCTGGACCGTGTTGGTTTCTGTTTATCTGAAGCAGAGCGAAGGCTGAAAAATCCAGCGGCACTTCAAAGATATCAGAGATGTCCGTGAGATGTGCAAGGCATTTGCACACCACAGATAATGGTGGCTTTCGTATTTCAGCAGCTAACAAACTGCCTCAGCAATAGGATATGGCCTCTTGCTGTATCATTAACTGGCTAGGGATGGTTGCTCACCAAATTTGCTTCTGTTAATTGCTCTTTGGGTGATAAGGGGGATTCAGTTCACTATCTTATATTCTGCACAGATTGAACTTTGGAAGCAAACTTTGGCTCTCTATTTTCCTTCATCTCCTCTTCATCTTTCAGCCTGGCTCAGTTGGAAACACTGATCTTTTGAGTCAGGCGGTTGTAGGCTCAAACCCCAAACTCTAGGGCCTTTGAGCTCACAGTCCAGGCTGATGCACCAGCTCCGTGCAGGGGGAGTGTTGCTTTGTAAGAAATTGAGACATTAAACCAAAATCTCTTCTGCATGTTCACACAGGCATCACTGATCCCATGGTGCTTATCAAAATAAGAAGGGAGTTTCTTCCAATGTCCCAACCAACAATACCCCAGATACAAATACTTTTTTTTTATATAGCACCTTTCACGTCGGGAGGACTTCCCAAGGCACTGGACAGTCAGGGATTTGGACCCGAGCAGAGGGGTTGGAATCAGGGAGGGTGAATGGCAAGGAGGGTGGCCAAAGCCATGGTGGTGGGAAGGGAGGTGCTTGAGATGTGCCTTGAAGGAGGCAGGGGAGGGTGTGAGGCAAAGGGAATGTGCGATGGAGTTCCAGAGGGTGGGGGTAGAGATGCTGATGGTGGGGACGACTGGGAGGGGGATGTGGAGCAGGATGGAGCCTGCTGAGTGTAGAGAGGTTGGTTTGGGGTTAGCAGGTCACAGAGGTAGGAGGGAGCAAGGCCGTAGAAGGCAAATAAAATAAAATTGGTCATTCACTTCATAGCTGTTTGTGGAAGAATTGGTGTGTGCAAATTGGCTTACACATTCATCTCCAAAATACAGTCACAATATTTCACAATATATTCTGTGAAGTGCTTTGAGATGTCCTCCTGACACAAAAATCCTATCAAATGCAATGACTGTTATTGTTAAAACTATTGTGTCCAGCTGCAGTTTACAGAGAACTAATAGCGTGGAAAACTTTTGTATACAACCAATCTGCCATGAGCTTCCACATTATTTATTATAATAATCCTTAGATTTGATATTACGCCTTTCATCTCAAGAGTGGGTGCAGAGAGCAAAATAATCATAAATTTGGGTACAATCTTCTCCGCAATGACATTTTCCGAAGACACAGTTTTACCAAATTATAAGTTATGAAGCAGTTACCCAGGCCACTGTACAGTCTGTGAATCAAGACAACACCCCCGGGACATCACAAGACCAACTCCCTCATTGGTGCAGCTCACAGATGGAGGCTTCTCTGACCTCCAAACCCCACGGGAACCAGGCAAACGCCGAGAAACTGCAGATTGGATGCTGAGGCAGTGGGGGTTGCTAAGCAACATGATATATGTTCAGTGCTATTGAGACTGTATCCTCCCTTTGTTATGGGTTCTTACTAGGAATCCTGTCTCTCCAGTTTGAGAATGCTAATGAACCTTGACCTTGCCTGCTATCCTGGCTGATTAATCAAGTCTAACGTTGCTTTTAATACCCAGATTTAGGAGGTCGCTTTATCATTATTCTCACAGAACAGGATAAACAGCTGAGGAAAAAGCATTAATAATAATAATGATGATAATCTTTGGATTTGATATTGTGCCTTATCACACCAACAAGATGTCTCAAAGCGCGTCCCAGAGAGTTACAATAAAGTGTACTGACTGTGTATTTGCAATCAATTTGTGCGCAGAATTGTTCCCACGTTGTCATCCAGAACACCAGGAGAAACTTTCCCTTCTCTTTTCCAAAGTGTCAAGGGATCTTTCACTGGGAATTGTTTAACAGGGAAAGAGCTGGAAACTGGGATAAATTGAAAAGAAAACGGGGAAGAACAGGAGGCAAGGCCACAATGGACTGAATGCCAGCCCCCCCCCTTTTGCACCGATTTTCTTGGAGGTAAACATTAGGTACAAAAGGTGGGCAAAAGCAAGAGGATAAATTGAGGAGCAATATTAGAGGAGGTTAGAGTGAGTGCAGAGTTCACAACTTGGGCAATGTGAGTGAAAATGAGAGACGCAAAGAATTGTTAAGGAGACTCATATGTAAACGGGGAATTAGATGTCATCCTGGCTTAGATGGTAGCACTCTTGTCTCTGAATCAGAAGGTTTGTCGGTTCGAGTTCAAGCTTGATAACAGGACTTTAAAGTCACAGGTCAGGCTGATATTCCAGTGCAATGCTAAGGGCATGCTGTGTTGGGGGTGAAGTGCCATCCTTCTAACGAGATGTTAAACCAAGGCTCTGTCTGCACTCGAAAAGAGAAGGGAGTTCTATCTCCCAGTGTCCTTGCCGACAATCTCCCAGATAAAATTGGTCACTCACTCCATGGCTGTTTATTGCTATGTATGTTTTTTTGCCCACAAATATACAATCAATTCACTTTACAGTATATTCTGTGAAGTGCTTTGAGACGTCTAGAAGATGTGAAAAGCACTATATCAAGTGCAACGATTATTATTTATTAGTTGCAAATTAGCTGGCGTGTTAGCCTAAAATTACACGACTCTAAATTTTACGGTAAATCCTATTAGCTGCTGTAAAACGTACTCCCGGTGTAAAAGGCGATGTATCAAATTGAAGGATTATTATAATTTGAGAAGAGAGACCGCAAAATGCAGTAGGAAAACAGAAAAAAATAGGGATAATAATAATAATCCTCACATTTGATAAAGTGTTCTATCACGTCTTGAGATGTCTCAAAGCGCTTCACAGAATATATTGTAAAGTGGATTATAGTAATAACAATAATCCTTGCATTGACAGTGAAACGCGGCAGCCAATTGTACACAGTAAACAGTTGTGGATTGAGTTCCAAATTTTGTTTTGGAGAGTTTATTACCAACAGAAAGTGATCCGCCAATTGACTAACAACCGAGTTTCTACTTACTGCTAAGTAAACAGTGTGTGAAGTAAGGAAACTTGCCTAAGGTTTCGCCCTGCCTGGGAACCGAACCCTGGTCCTCTCGCTTGCGAGGCGAGTACTCTAATCAGTACTCTGGTGCACTCCACGAAAGATAAATATTTGACAACTGAATATTCAATGTGTTTCAGTACAGCAAGGACATATGTGCAAAAAAACTCCAAAATAACACAATAGAGAGGGATAACAATAGCTCTGAAGCTTCTGGTTAGGAGAGCTGTGTAGGGAATTTTATTTGATGTTGTTCTGGAGAATGAGCTGTGCTGTCCCTGGTGCTGAATTGAGGACATTGAGTGTGAAGTCGTGGTACACTTGAGACTTCTCCTGTTTGGAGAGGACAGTGCAACAGTGTTGCTTGGGTATAACAACAACAGTTTGTGTTTATGGCGCCCCCTTCATGCCAAACAGCGTCTTGGTGCGCTTGATCACAGGTCACAGAACAAGATCACAGGTGAGAAGCTAGCTCCAGGCTTCATTAGAAATTGGAGCTCAACTACGCTTTAAGAATTCGGATGAGCTACGATTCCAGCGATCCAAAAATAAAGAGCTCCTCAGAGTTCAAAGATTATTGCTACCAAAGGCGAGGGAAAACAATTCTAAGTTGATCTGAGCCATTTGAATGTGAGTTCAGTGAGAATGTGGAACGTACTTCTCTGAGAAGAATATTCTGCTCCAAATGTTGCTTTAGATAGATAGGTAGTAGGTAGGTATAGCCAATAGATGACATCATGCAGTATCTCTCTTACTTTTTCTCTCTCATTCACTCATTCACATTGCTTTTCTCTGCCTTACTACGCATTTTATGGGCAAACTCGGTATCTAATTTGCACAGCAATCAATGAATGACTAATTTTGTTTGGGAGGATTGTTGTCTTGGACACCAGGAGAAACTCTCTTTTCTTTTCAAATAGTGTCTTGAGATCTATAGCTTCCATCTGAGCAGGCAGATGGGAACTGGGTTTAATATCTCATCCAAAGGACGGCACATCCAACAATTCAGTGCTTCCTGAGCATTACAGAAATGTCAGCCTATGATGATAATAAAAATAAATAATCCTTGCATTTGATATTCCATCTTTCATGTTGGGATAACATCTCAAAGTGTTTCACAGTATACTGTGAAATGTAGTAACTGTGTATTTTTTTGATGACCGTGTCCCGATGTGAGCCTTGAACCCACGATCTTCTAATCCAGAGGCAAAAGTGCTACAGAATGAGTTACTATTTGGGCCGTTTTACGCGCAATATCAAATAAAAGCATTATTATTTATTGCATGATTTGTAAGGGTTCACAAATACGAAAGAGGAATATTATTTCAGGACAAAACAAAAAAAACTTTCCAAAGTATATGTGAACTCTCTCTCATTTTTCTTTCTGAATCTGAGAGGCCGTGCAAATGAGAAAGCTGGAGAAAATGGTCATAGCTGGAGAGCAAGGAGCGCATCATGAAATGTAACTGAGTGGTTACCGTGCGCTGTTCCCTGTTTTGCTAAAGTGACGCCTTTGTATTCTGTTCCTTTCCTCAGGTGTGATAGCCAGATGTACGCCAATCAAATATCACTACTCCTCCACAACTATCCCGAAAAACCTTTCATACAACATCACAAAAACTATCCGCCAGGATGAGTGGCACTCCTTGCGTAAGTCCAGACTTTTTTTTTAATCATTCGAATTCTCTCTGAAGAAACCCACTTCCCTGTTGGCATGTTTACATGGTCATGGTTACATTGTTCGAAAATGAGCAGACAATTTTGTGCCAAATGCGAGACGAGGTGATGGTTGTTGGCATGTAATGTGGACTCGTGGTGAAACTTGTTGGTGAATGTCAGGAGATGGCACAAATTATCCACCTGCCTGCATACAAGCTGGCACAGTTGATCTCGATTCAATGGTGCAATTTAACACGTGTGATAGTCTTAAGTGGAGGACAGTCCCGGTCACTCTGTTATAAGAAGCAAGAGCAGCTGTTAGACTAACAGCCACAGAGTGGAGGAAGGCCTTAAGTTCTGTCCTAGTCTAGTGAGTTCTCATCAGAACGACTGGCCTCAATGCACTGGGATCCGAAAAGATTAATGTAAAAGTATCCAGTTTATATCTACCTTATCGGGAGGATGTGTCTCAAACTGTTTCACACTGCTACATGGCAGCTAAGCTGGCACCTAAGCCAGGGGTTGGGAGCTGAAGAGGGTTGTGGGGGGAGGGGGCATAAGATAACTGAAAGTACAAAGAGGTAAGTCATGAGCGGGCTTTGAAAGTGAAGGAGGAGGTGATTCTGAGGGTCTGCTGGGGTGGGGTGGGGGCAGGATGGCTGAAAACTTGGCCGCTGATGGTGAGGTGGATAAGGTGAGGGACGTGAAACAGACTGTGTTCATTGAAACAGGTCAGTGCGGTTGCAAAAGGTGTTGATGTAGGGTGGGGCACGGCCATGGAGAAATTTGAAAGGGAGAGCGAGGATCTTGAATTTGATCTGAGTTGAGAAATTGGGTCATGGTTACTGTTCGTGATCCCCGATGCTAGTTTCCGACTTGAAATTTGGAGTCAGTGTGGCTGACTCCTATTACCAATCTGTCATATGTTGAATGCCAAAGAAAGAATGAAACCACACTTATCCTTCCAACAACAACAACAACTTGCATTTATATAGCGCCCGTCATGCAGGGTTGTCCTCGGAGACCTTAACAGGGGATGAGCTAGGCCATGGAGAGAAGGGAGATGACTGTAGGCATGGTCAAAGACAAAGGTCTTCAGCTGTGATCTGAAAATAGGCAAAGAGGGGCTAGGTGGAGGGATTGAGGCAGAGAGTTCAAATCTCAGGGCGTAATATCTGAAAGCATGGCCGCCGATTGTGGAGGGGAGGGGACGAGGGATGTGGAGGAGCCCGGAGCCAGCCAAGCAGAGGCGCCGGGCAGATGAATGTGGTGTAAGATGCTTTTCTGAAAAACTACTCACACCAGCTCTAGGAGAGTGCACACAGGTCAGAAGAGCCTAGCTACTGAACCCTGAGCTCTTCCAGGTGGATGTGGAAAGGGCATTCATATAGAGATATCTTTCATTCAGGTTTTTGTTCTGCATGATTTCACAGACAGATCAAACCAATCGAATCCATTACCGGGGGATGCCCTGTTAGCAAACCTCAGTGACCTAATTTTGTAAGCTAATTGTACCCTCCTTAACGTACGCTCCCTCTCTCATTCTTTCTATCTCTCTTTCACCATCTTTCTCTCTCTCTCTTCCCATCTTTCCCTCCACCTCTCTGCCCACCTTTCCCCTCCCTCTCCTTCTCTTTGACAGCTTTTGATAAAGGTTATTTGAGCTTATGGCTGGCATGGATACATGATACGTCCAGCATTTGTCTCCTTTACTCTCTCTCGCTCTCTCTGTGTGAAAGCTACTGAATGGGTTTTGTCACCTAGGCAGCTGAGTCAGCTGGACACACATATCCAATACTCCTCCCTGTAGTTTCTTCACTGATATAGATTTTCAGTTTGCACCTGTTTGCAGTGAGCGAGCGATCAGAATACAACAGGCTTTCTTTGCCTTGAAGCTTTCGAGCACTGTCATCAACAAGCATCTCAATTACATCTCCCTCACCCTCCAGCCACAGAGCAGAGTCCATTAAACAGTGTTTTAATGTAGCACTTTGTTCTAAAAGGGACACTGCAACAATGCTATTCCAGCACAAAGCAACAACCACCATCATCAATTGCTGATTCAGCTGGTGAAGAATGATATGACTATCAATCTACAGGAGAACTGAATGGAGAGCTGGGAGGGGAAAATAACTTTCAAAAAAGAGGAGACAAATCATTTTAAAATTGAACTAACATTAACAGCATCAACAACATCTATAAAGCTTTCATGTCACAAGGATGTCCCAAGGCACTGGACTGTCAACAACAACAACAAACAACAAATTACATTTGTGTTCAGTATCTTTCACATTGACAACATCACATGGCACTCAGGGATTTGGACCTGAGCTGTGGGTTGGGATCAGGAGAGGTGGAGGGCAGGGATGGTGAAGGTAGAAGGGTGACCGAAACGTGGTCAAAGAAGAGGTTCTTGAGATAGGCCTTGAAGGAGACAAGGGAGGGAGCAAGGCAAAGGGACTGTGGGATGGACTTCCAAAGGGTGGGGACAGCCTGACTGCCGATGGTGAGGCTGGCTGGGTGGAAGACGTGGGGAAGGCCGGAACCTGCTGAGCAGAGGAAGCGGACAAGTTGATATGGTGTTAGCTGGTCACAGAGGTAGAAGCAGCAAGGCCATGGAGGGCTTTGAATACGAGGACAAGGATTTTGAACTCTACCCTCTGGGAGATGGGGAGCTAGTGGAGCTGGGCGAGGGCGGGGATGATGGGGTTATGGAATCTGGGGCAGGATAGGATAAGTTGCAGAGTTCTGGATGATGTGCAGCATGTGGAGGGAAGAGTTGGAATGGCTGACAAGCAGGGAGTTGGTGTAGTCGAGCCTAGATGTAACACGTGTATGGATGACAGTTTTGGTGGCCTGAGGAAAGAGATAGTGGCAGAGCCGGGCATTTTGCGGAGTTGCTGGACGGCAGAGCAGGTCATGGCACGAATGTGGGGTAGAAAGAACAGTTGAGGGTCCTTTTCTGCCCCACATCCGTGCCATAACCCAACTTGCATCACTTTTCAAAAAAACTCTCTAATAGTATCCTGACAATTCCCCAGATAGAATTAATCATATACTGCATGGCTGTTTGTACTTTGTTGCTGTGTGCAAATTGGCTGCAGGTACAGTTATTACATTTTATGTAAAATCCCATGTATCACTTTGAAACATCCTGATGTAAAAGTAGCTGTATGAAATGTAAGGTTTATTTGTATTATTATTAAATTGCAGCCTGTCAGACACTGAAGCACTCCATGCATGCCTGTTGATACCGCAAATACTTTTGCGGTTCAGCCTTGATGGATGGCCTCGCTTCCTTCACTGGAGTACCACCAGTGACTATTATAGAGCATTAGAGCAAAGAAACAACGCTTCACAGTAACGGATCCCAGGGCCGAGCCAGGGGGAGGGGGAAATGGCAGGGTCGAAAAGAAATGTCTTCAGCTGAGACCTGAAAATAGGAAGGGAGGGGGAGAGGCGAAGGGAGTGAGGAAGGGAGTTCCAGAGTCTCGGGGGGTAGAGGCTGAAGGCATTGCTGCCAATGGTGGAACGGAGGATTCGGGGGACAAGGAGGAGACCAGACCCGGTGGAACAAAGGCAGCGGGCACTTGTTGTGAGGAGAGAGAAGGTCAGAGAAGTAGGGGGGTGCAGAGGAATGGAGGGATTTGAAGACAAGAGTGAGGATCTTGAAGTCGATCCTCTCTGGGACAGGCAGCCAGTGCAGTCTGGCAAGGACTGGGGTAATCGTGGAGCGGAGTTTGGTGCTGGTAAGAATGCGGGGGGCAGAGTTCTGGATGACCTGGATTTTATGAATGGTAGTGGAGGGGAGACCGGCGAGGAGTGCGTTAGAATAGTCCAGGGTTTCAGCGGCTTTTGGGGTGAGGTATTGGCGGAGATGGGCGATGCGTCGGAGGTGGAAGAAGGCGGTGCTAGTGAAGGACCGGATGTGGGGGAGGAAGGATAATTGAGGGTCGAACCTGATGCCTAGGTTGCATATGGGTTCGGAGAGTTTTCGAGGGAGGTAGGTAGGTGAAGGAGGTGAGAACCATGCGATTTTAGACGTTGATGAGAGCCAAAGAGTATGGCTTCCGTCTTGTCAACATTTAGCTGAAGGAAATTCGCGCTCATCCAGCTCTTGATGCCTGACAGACAGGCTGACAGAACATCAGGGGACTGAGGATCGCAAACTGAGGTGGAAAAACTCTAGTTGGGTGTCGTCCGCGTACATGTGGATGTGTACCCCATGTCTGCGGATGACCTCACGAAGAGAGCATATAGATTAGGAAGAGGAGAGGGCCAAGGATGGATCCTTGGAGTACGCTGCAGGTAACCGGGTGAGAGTGGGAGGAGAAGCTCTTTGTGCAGATGTACTGCTGGCGGTTCGTGAGGCAGGACTCGAACCAGGTGAGTGCGGTCCCACTCAGGTGGATGATGGAGTAAAGGCGGTGGAGGAGAATGGCATGATCGACTATGTCGAAAGCGGCAGAGAGGTCCAGGAGGACAAGGAGGCAGGACAAGAGGGAACCCTGATCACAGATAGAGACAATGTCATTTGAGACTTTCACAAGCGCAGTTTCTGGGCAGGACGGAAGCCGGACTGAGGGGTTCAAAGAGGAAGTGGGAGGAGAGGTGTGTGCGGAGTTGATTGGCAACAATGTGTTCTAGGATTTAGGCCCAGAAGGGCAGGTTTGAAATAGGGCGGTAGTGGCTAGGGTTTGAGGGATCTAAGGAAGGTTTTTTGAGGAGGGGGATGATGACAGCAGTTTTGAGGGGGGCATGGACTGATCCAGAGGAGAGGAAATGGTTGATGACATCAGTCAGTAGCGGGCAGAGGAGGGGTAGCTGGGTGACCAGCAAGTTGGTGGGGAGGGGGTTGAGGCAGCAGGTGGTGGGTTTCATTGAAGTGATGGTGTGTGAGATGGAGGAAGGAGAGATGGGGAGGAAGGAATGTAGGATGGTGGTCGTGGTAGGAGCTGATGATAATAATAATAATAATCCTTGCATTTGAT